GTCCCTCCAGGACTCCTATAAATACTAAGCTTAGGACTACATTCAAAGGGTTCAAACACCAAAACCAAAAGCCTCCCACGGAGCAAATTATATTTTCCTGTAATGCACTTTCAATACCTTTATTTGCTTTCTTAGGAGTAGTGGTAGACTGTAAGAAAAATCCATTCATCAAGGCACGAGGGTGCCGGAGGGGGCCGGAGGCAACACAAAGCTTGCATGTCACAAGGCGATGTGGCCAGGCACAGGGGCGCCGAAGGCAACACAAAGCTTGCATGTCGCAGAGCGATGTGGCTAGGCATGATGACACCGAAGGCAACACAAGATGTGCCTAGGCAAGGGGTGCCGAAGGCAACACAAAGCTTGCGTTATGACAAGGCATTGTGGCCAGGCATGAGCAGCAGCGCCGGTTGATGGCTGGGTGCCTAAGGCATCGCTCGCGCCAGTTGATGGCTGGGTGTCGAAGGCAACACAAGCTATATGATGAAGATTGTATGGATGTCGAAGGGCACTGAGCAAGTGGAGAACGACATAAACCTTTTGTATCAATTCCCACAGACGTCGCCAAACTGTTGATGCTCAAATTGGTTAGGCCAAGAATGAGTCTAACTTAGTGATGATGTGTGATGGATGATGGATGAAGGTGAGGACCTTAAGCATGTATGTAAAGACTTGGGCAAGCGATAAATGTAAAGAAGACAAGATATACGTGGTTCACCCTTAATGAATGGGCTACGTCCACGGAGAAGTGTGTTCTCATTATAATAGTGTATGATTACATTTGTACATGGGGTTGGACCCGAATATAAAGATGACAAGTAAGATGCCTAGGTCAGGGATCTATAAGAGAGTCCCCGGCTCTAGGGTCTAGCTTTGAGACCCAGATCCTCTTCTAAGTGGAGAGAAGAAGTCCCCTTTTCACATGGATACTATTCCCTATTTATAGGGAAGTGAAAGTGGGAGGTTTGTGTAGATTTCCGATGTGGGACTTTGCGCAAGTCGCTGTGGTGGTGACATGTGTCATGGTGTTGATGCTCTTGGTGCTAGATATGCTCGGTTGATTATGGTGTAAACAATGACTTTGATGGCTACGCTCTCGTTGGTTTTGATGTTCTTGGCATGGTAGACTTTGGCGAAGGTGCCATTCCCAAGCAATTTGCCGATTTCGAAGCGACCCAAAAGCGGAGCTGGGATGTTTTTGGATTTGTTGGTAGGAGTAGAGGGGTTGGAAGCGACGCCGTTATTGGTAGCTTTGGTGGTGAGGTTTGCCATTCCTCCGGGAAGGGACGGCCCTCTCTCTCGATTTCTCAGGTGAATTTGGGTTTTTGTGATTGTTTGATTGAATTTTTTTTTTTTTTTTGGGGTTGATTTATTGGGCTTTTTTGTTGTGTTTGGGATGTGATGTTTGGTTTGTTGGGTGTTGTTTTGATGATTGATGAGTGGTGTGTGTAGAAACTAAAGGGAGATGTTTTATTTGGTTTTGGAGACAATGATGCTCCTTATATGGTACAGGAATATACCCTCCACCTCCTCCCAATACAATACTTAGATTTTTTTTTTCTTTTTCTTTCTATTTTTTTATTTAATTTTGTTTGCCTCATATAACAATATATGACGTTTACGATAAGTTTAAGAAAATATTCTGTAAATGGTCTAAGGTGTTTTTTTTTTTTTTTGGGTAACAAAAAAAAAGGCTAAGTTTTTGCTAGCAAGTTTCCCACAATCTGAAAAGCATGCAATATAAAATATTAAGTTGTTGCAAATTTATTTATTGTTTCGGGAAAGATTTTCTTTTTAGTTTATTAGTCATCGATTTAACCTTATTATGTTAGTGGTGACAAATTGTTCATTAAATAAACATGATTAGCGTCAATTTTTATGTCAAGTGCCCTTGTCACATAGCATGTGATCCAAAAATATTCCCACAAAAATAATATGACACTTTCGTATTACTTAACAATTTTGTTTTATGAGAAGTAGACCTCCTTAATTTAATCATTAACTTATTGTCGGGCCTTCTAGTTCAACATTAGTTACTTAAAGAGTTAAATTTTTATCGTGAATGTTGGACTTTAACTATTATTGTTACAACTATAAACCTTTGTGTGGCGAAAAAACGAAAGGGAAAAAAAACAATTTACCGAAAAAAGGGCCATGGCAATTTGCTCAAAGTTCAAAGTTGAATGTTGAAACCAAAAACATAGTTGCATGAGAATTGCAACTTCCATGTTTGACAGCGCAACATAAACATGGGACATACGAAGTTTAACGGCTCTTTATGTGTTGGATGAGTCGTGAGATGCAAGAGGTTAAAACTCTGTACAAGAAGAAGAAGAAGCAGCTTATTTCCAACCAAGTAATCTTCAGCCACTTAGTGGGTAGCACGTGTGTTATACTAAACGGGTGCTGACAATGTCACACATAGGCAATCTCAATCCAGCCTAACCTCATCAGACGTCCTACACCGACGATCAGGCTTACTATTATACCGTCAAACATTTAATCGGTCACGTGCTTTTCTAAGCCACGTTGTACAACTAAAATTGCTACACGTGATTCTGAAGAAAAGATGCCAAGGATTGATTTTGATTTGGGCGGGGAACTGCTCACGAGAGTCGAACCAGGAAATTGAATGGTTAAGAAATGGATGACTTGATGGTGAAGCAAGTTAACTTGATGGTCGGTGATGATTTTACAAATCTACGGCATACAACTGTTACAAAATCTTCAACATGCAATTTCTTTGCCTATTTTACCCTTTATTATTAGTAGTAAATAAGTTGACCCAAAAAAAGAGTTAAGTATTGGGCCTCCCATGTTTTGATGATTGCACTCCATCTCTATGTGAGTGGAGGGCCTGGAGAGGGTATTTTTTAATACAAGCGTTAGTCTAAATGATTTTTAACACACACACTACAATGGTGTCACGAGGGTTCGAATCTAAGACCACTAACTTGCAAGTCAAGATCATTTTTTATTAGACTAGACCTCATTAGCCATAAAAACAATTTTTAAATTCAATTATTTTGGTCACCAAACTCTAGGCAAATAATTGAATATTTGAAAATTAAATTGCCAGATATATAACTTGTATGTTTTAAAAAAATTATTATTTTTAAATAATAAATGCAATTTAACTCTAAATATGAAATTCGTACAATTATTTAGTTTATCACATCGACTAATATCTCATCATCATTCAACCTTTCATGAAATCCGTATATGAGTATTGAAAGAAAAAGAAAAGATTTGAAATGAATATGATAAATTTTCAAAAGATAAGGTAGTGACGCTTAAAAGACAAACAATGTTGCAATTTCAATGATTTGAAATATATATATATATATATATATATGTATTTTTTTTTTTTTCGTATTGCTTATAACAGCAGAAGTACAAAAGTGGATAAGGACTTGTAGATGTTGAGATGAATGGAAGTAATGCCAACGGATGTGTATCATGCATCAGAAAAGTGTCTTGAAAGGCTAATATACACAAGTTTTTTTTACTTTTCAATTTAATATGCTGCTAAATGCAATGCACATTTATAATGATGCCCTAATATTGAAATTTTTTTTGTGACTAAACTGAAATTAGTCGCATTTACAAATTATTATTATTTGTGAAAATTTGAAAAGGAGAGAATGAGGTGTGATTGGTGTTTGAACGTAAAATCACTAGGGAAGCTCTATCCAAATCAGTCATATTGCTAATTGAAATGGCTTTCTATGTTCTTTTCAATTGATCTAATAAAATACTATCGCTTGTTTGGTAAAAAAAACTATTTCATATTTTAATAACAAGGAAGATAGTTAATTATGAATATAACAGATTAACTCACCTAATAAGCGTTCTATCTAAGTCAATATATATGTTGAAATCGAAGTTAACCAAAGTAAGAAGAAATTAGTATTAAAGATGTAATAACCCAATCCTAAATTAAATTTTAATTAATAAAATATTCAAATAAAAGACGATTTTACCCCGTGACTATTTTAATGGTTTAAAAGTTGACTTTTTGTTTGGGAAAGACTTTGGGAATTTCAGTTGTACTGTTGCGTAGGGCACGTCAAGATGAGTCCGTAGACACAATATACACAAGTTTTTTTACTTTTCAATTTGATTTAAAGCTAAATGCAATGCACATAATGTTGAAAAATATTTTGTGATCAAACTGAAATTAGTCACATACACAAATTATTATTATTATTATTATTATTTTTTAAAATTTGGAAAGGAGAGGGGACTAAGTGTTATTGGTATTTAAACTTGATATCACTAACCAGATAAATACTTTTACGGTTTTACCATTGAACTATCAACCTTTTGGCAGCATTATCAAGTATGTACAGGCCTAAGCCCAACAAAGCGAAAAACTAACGGAAATTGGCCGTGGTCTGAACAATTAACTGCTTGCAAATTTAGTCCACCAGCTTGCTATCCTGGAATATGTATGTGTATATGCTTTGTTTCTGAAAAAAAAATCAAAGCAAAAGGGTCCTTATTATGCAGAGGAGATTGGATTGACCATCCATATCTGATTGATGGAATATATAGATGTATGGCAAGTTCTTCTACATTTGTGAAGATGCCCAACTGTCCATTCTTCCTTCATTACAAGTCGTTGCATTTGGCTACTTGCGAATTTCTGACAGCGTTTCGCTGAAAAATTTGTAAGTGTTTATGAATCATATAAACATGGGCACCATTTGAATGTAAGTCAAGTCCGGATGGGGCTAAGGATGCCTTGCCCTGTACTGCAATTAACTGCTCGGCCCCCTCTTTGGCATAAATGGAAGGAAAGGAATAGATGAGTCTAGTTTTCCTGTTACAGTCACGTGAAAACATTCACAAACAGAAACAGATGAGATGTATTAGCAAGTTGTTGCACATTTATGAAGACAGATGTGTGGAGACTGGATTGACTATCCATATCTGATTGACGGAATATATAGAGACGTATGTATAACAAGTTCTTGCACATTTGTGAAGACAGATGCGTGGAAAGCAAATCCCCAATTGTCCATTCTTCCCTTATTACAAGTCTAAGTCGCTGCAATGAATGGACCAGTTGCATTTGGCTACTCTCGAATTTCTTCCTCCCATGGTGCAATCATGTGCCCCACTCTTTGGCAACTTGTTCTGCCTTCATAGATTGGCACTGCAACAAATTATTCAATGATTTCAAGTTCTAAATCGGAAAGGAAAAAACAAACGAAAAACAATTTGAAGTTGGAAGGAACTTCTCTGTTTTTGGTGCTCAAGGTCATGGAGAGAAGTTGTTTCCTCTTGTCAATCACCTTCTTGCTGGTGCTGCAGCTGCAGTACAGTTCTATAGGCACAGTAGGTGCAGCACAAACCAACATCACCACGGACCAGTCTGCTCTTCTTGCTCTGAAAGCCCATGTCACTAGTGACCCTCACAACATCTTGGTCAATTGGTCAACGACCACCTCTGTTTGCAATTGGGCTGGCGCTGTTTGTGGTGCTCGTCACCTCAGAGTAGCATCATTGAATCTCTCGTACATGGATCTCACAGGCACCATTCCATCATACTTAGGCAACCTCTCATTTCTTGTTGAGCTGGACTTAAGAAACAACAGTTTTCATGGCACCCTGCCCCATGAATTGTCTTATTTGCATCGCCTCAAGTTTATTAGCTTCAAATTCAACAATTTTATGGGATCCATTCCATCATGGTTTGGGTCCTTCCCCAAACTTCAAATCTTCAGTTTGCATGGCAATCAGTTTTCAGGTTCCATACCTACGGCTATCTTCAACTTGTCTACATTGCAAGTCATAAATCTAAACATGAACAAACTATCAGGTACTTATGTTATGTGACAACAAGCTATCTAGACTCTATTGTTGATTTATCATTAGGTTTCCACATCTTGTTATTAATCTATAAGCCTAATATGTTTTTTTTATTTAGAAAATTATGCTACTTTTTTCTTACTTGCAGGTCATCCAATACTCAAAAACTCTCACTTGAATAGATTATGTATTTGGTTTTTAATTTTAAGAACGGTTGAGTCTATAATGTTGATTTTTTTTTAATATACTCAGAAAGTTTTTACAAAACTTACATTTATGAAATTAGTGAGTACATGTTGTGTAGGCTATAAATGATAAAACTGGTTGGGTGTTGGGGGATAAAGACATAGATGATAGATTGTAAATAATAGGGAATATTTATGACCTTTTTCACATGGAGGCCCATTATAACATGATATTTTATAAATATAAAAAACACCCTTGAGAGTGACCAAGTGACTAGTTGAGAGTTTTTTTTTCCCTCCAAAATAGCCACTCTAACAGCATTTCTATAAATTATGTAGTGTGGTGTTTGTTCTAATTTCATTTATTTACATGTATTCTGAGTCTTTGTTTGGCATACTTAACAGGTGCGATCCCCAGAGAAATAGGGAACTTAACAATGTTGAAGGAGATACACCTTGACTCCAACAATTTCAATGGTATATATATTTGTTGCATTGCCCTTGATGTGATACAGTTATATACGACTCCGCTTTTGTTGCAATGCATTATATGTGCATAAAACATGAATTTAACATATAATGTGCATATATCTTAATGATTTTTCAGAAATTCCAAAAGAGATCGGCTTTTTATATCAGCTGGAGAAGTTGTATGTGCAGCGTAATGCCCTAAAAGGCCCTGTTCCTATGGTTGTTTTCAACATGTCTTCTTTGACTACGTTGTCTCTATATGGAAACAACTTGAGTGGTGGTCTTCCAGACAATATATGCCAACATCTTCCTAGTCTTCAATCCTTGTATTTGGGTAGCAACCAGTTTGATGGTCCACTTCCATCCAAATTATGGCAATGCAGAGAGCTTCTTCAGCTTAATTTGGAGGAAAACAATTTCAACGGAAGCATACCAAAAAATATTGGGAACTTAACAATGATGAAGCTTTTATCCCTTTACCACAATACTTTGACGGGTAATTGATATTTCATTATGTTGATTCAATTATGATTTATCTTTTTTATTTTGTTTGCATAATTTATCTTTATTTAACTATTTCATATTTTAGTAAATGAGGGAGATAGTTAATCATGCATAGAACAATTTTTTTTGGTCAAAATCACTGGAAAATTCATTAGAATCGAATAGTAAGGTTTACAATCATGAATATAACATATTGACTTGCCTAACAAACGTTCTATCTAAGTCAATATGTTCAAATCTAAGGTTAACCAAAGTAAGAAGAAGAAAAAAGAAGAAGAGGTATAAAGACATGCAAACAAAAAAGTGTTTTGCTCAAGGAATATGACATTTTGTAAACCATATATTTTCGTCCCCGAATTATGGCCAGATTTCTTAATTTGGTTCAAACACAAAACTTTTTAGAGATTTCCGTGTAAATATTGTTGTATTAATCAATATTATGAGTGTGACATTTTATACTAAAGGTCATGAACAAGTAGATAGCGTTAGATTAGATTAATAATTTAAATGGCCTCATCCCATCGTCAATCTTCAATATCTCCACGATAGAAAAAAAAAAAATAGATTGAATTACCGTTTCTATCTAAGTCAATATTCTTTTCTAACTAATGCTAATGCTACAACGTTGGTGAAATTGTGGCAGGCACTATACCAAACGAGATCGGTGATCTTCCAAATTTAGAGTTTTTGGCATTCGGAGCTAATGACCTCAGCGGAGTAATCCCCAACCTCTCCAATGCTTCTATGCTCATCAAGACAGATTTGGGCCGAAACTCATTTACAGGGTTTATTCCGAGGACACTCTGTGCCTTAAAAAACCTTCAGTTTCTTAACTTAGGAAGAAATAATTTGACGATTGATACTTCCACTCTCTCTTGTTTGGCTAATCTTGGAAATTTGACAACACTAACTTTGGAATTTAATCCGTTAAATGCCAGACTTGATCATTCCTTTCGGAATTGCTCTACATCGTCGCTACAATATCTTTATTTATTCAATTGCAGCATGAGGGGTAACATTCCCATTGGTATTGGCAACATTAGCAGCTTGGTAACCTTAGCCCTGGCATACAATGAATTGAGTGGATCAATTCCAACTTCAATGGGAAGACTTCAAAATCTCCAAGGTTTGTATTTGGATGATAACAAGTTGCAAGGATACATCCCAAATGAACTTTGTCAACTAGATAACCTAGTTGACTTATCTCTGGGTGGAAATCAGCTTTCTGGTTCTATACCTTCTTGCTTGGGCAATCTAGCCAGATCTCTCAGAAATCTATCACTGGAGTCCAATTCATTGAGTTCCACAATACCATCTACTCTCTGGAGACTGGCCTATATCTTGTATGTGAACTTATCGTCCAATTCTCTAATTGGACCTCTCTCACAAGATATTGCAGAGTTGAAAGTTGTGGTAGGTGTAGATTTATCAAATAACCATTTATCTGGTGTTATACCAAGCACCATTGGGGGTCTTTTGGATTTGGAAATTCTATCCTTGGCAAATAATAATTTGGATGGCCCTATTCCAAGTTCATTTCAGCACTTGATCAGCCTGGAATTCTTGGATTTATCCAGAAACAATATGTCTAGCGTGATCCCAAGGTCTTTAGAAGCTCTCTTACATCTTAACTACCTGGATTTGTCCTTCAATAGGCTTCAAGGAGAAATTCCAACAGGTGGACCCTTCCAAAATTTCTCCGCTCAATCATTTGTCTCAAACAGTGCACTTTGTGGTGCAGCTCGATTTCATGTTCCACCATGCAAAAATAGTACACTTGAACCAAATTGGAAGAAAGCTAAATATATCATTGCAGGGATCATATTAGTAGTTCTCCTAGTCGCCTCTGTATTTATCTTTCTACTACGGAGGAAAAGGAATGCAGAAGTTTCAATAGAGGCTACCTTGTTCTCTCAACTTCATTGGAGAAGAGTTTCACACCTTGAACTTCTAAGGGGGACGGATGGATTTAATGAAAATAACTTACTTGGAAGTGGGGGTTTTGGCTCAGTATATAAAGGGACACTTTTAGATGGAATAGATGTTGCAATAAAGGTTTTCAGTTTACAGCTAGAAGGGGCTTTCGAGAGTTTTGATAGGGAATGTGAAATGCTAAGCAATATTCGTCATCGAAATCTTATCAAAATCATCAGTTGTTGCAGTGAAATTGATTTCAAAGCCTTGGTACTGAACTACATGCCTAATGGGAGCCTCGAAAAGTGGTTGTATTCTCAAAACTCTTCTCTGAATATCCTAGAGAGGATGAATATAATGGTAGATGTTGCAGTGGCAGTGGAATACCTTCATCATGGTTATTCAGTACCTATTGCCCACTGTGATTTGAAGCCCAGCAATATACTACTAGATGATGATATGGTTGCGCATGTTGCTGATTTTGGAATTGCAAAACTCTTGGGTGGAGGAGATTCTATAACACAAACCATGACCCTAGCCACAGTTGGGTATATGGCTCCAGGTGATATACTTGCTAATTTAATATCTTTCAATTCTATACATGTTGTCCTTAATTACGTATAATTATCATTTCATCATACACATGAATATATAAGTATAATTCATAATGCAGAGTATGGATTGAAAGGAATGGCTTCAACAAGAGGGGATGTGTATAGTTTTGGAATTCTAATGATGGAAACATTCACAAGAAGGAAGCCAACAGATGAGATGTTTGGTGGGGAAATGAATATAAAGCAATGAATTGCAAACTCACTAGTATTACCAGATGCAAAGATAGATGA